CGGGCCCCATAGCGCCCCCTCCCCCCCACGGATCTGGGGCCGGGCCCCATAGCGCCCCCTCCCCCCCACGGATCTGGGGCCGGGCCCCATAGCGCCCCACGGATCTGGGGCTGGGTCGGGAGCAAGGCCCTTGAATAAACAGGTCCAAACCTCCCTCCCCCAAGATCTGGGTGTGAACGTGAACCGAAACTGCGTCCCGGGTCACTGGTTCTGCTCCTTCTCTCCCAGTTTCCCGCCTGCATTGTGAAAGTGAGTCTTTCAAGATGGACCTAATCCTGGATGTGAACATACAGATCTACCCCGTGGACCTGGGTACGTAGTAGGGGGCCCTCAGGCTGGCAACAGATAATCCTTGTATCAGGCAGCCCCTGCTGAGCTAGAGCCAGCTGCTGGCGGAAGTGCCCATAACACTATGGGCTTGTCTACCCAGGGTATGAAGTTTAATTAAGGAAAAGGCTGTGTGATTTAAAGTGCAGTAAGCCCCTGTCTGCATGCTGCTGTTCTGAAGGAACGAGGCCTTCAATTAGATCCAGTGGTCACATGCAGCTGTGATGTGAGGGGAAGCACTTCACCTGCCTGACAGCTCCATGACCTCTAGGGATCATGCTACTCAGAGCGCATCACCTGGCACTTGGATGTGCTGTTGAATGCCCTGATTGCCCTTCCTTGGAGCTGGGAGCCCTGAATACTGTGTGCCTGAGTGACTGTGCAGATCGGGGCGAGGAGCCAGTTCACAGGTGGCTTGCTTCTCTTTGCCATCAAGCACCGTTGCAGTAAGATGCAGCCTGTATGCCTTGTGTGCTTTGGTTTCGGAGTTCCTTCCTGGCTACGTCTACACCGGCAGCTTCTTGTGCAAGAACTGTTTTGCGGAAGAGTTCTTGCACAAAAAGTCTTCCACAAGAGCGCGTCTACACTGGCATGTGCTTTTGCGCAAGAGCATCCATGGCAGTGTGGACGCTGTCTTGCGCAAGAAAGCTCTGATGGCCATTTTAACCATAGGGGCTTCCTGTGCAAGAAATTCATGTGGCCCGGCTACACTGCCCTCTTGTGGAAGAGCTCTTGCGCAAGAGGGCTTATTCCTCGTGGGGAGCGGAATAACTCTGCCGGCAGAAGCCCTGTTTTACAACGCTGTACTGTAAATTTACTTGCGCAAGAACGCGCGTGCAGTGTAGACAGCAGGCAAGTTTTTGCGCAAGAACAGAAGCTGCCGGTGGCGACGTAGCCCCTGTGTGGGATCATACTTCCTGTGCCCAGCTGGCCTCCTTGGGAGCGTGCCTTTCACCTGCTCTCTGTTGGGTATTGCAGGTGACAAATTCCGTCTGGTTATTGCCAGCACCTTGTATGAAGATGGGACCCTGGATGATGGGGAGTATAACCCCACCGATGACAGGCCGTCCAGGTAACGGGGCAGCATCTGGCAGGGAGTAGCTCAAGAATTCAGTAGTGTCTCATGCAGGCTGAGGTCAGTGAACGGAGGGGTAAAGAAAGTGGGGAAAGCGTGGAGCTGGGGAGCTGCCCTGGGTCAGCATCCCTGTCTGATCACGTTGGCCTTTAAACACCAGGGAGAAGGGGCTAACCAGAGCAGCCCTTGGTTCCCAGCCTTTGTCTGGCAGATTCCCACTGTGGTCAGTCGGCAAGTGGGCACTGCTGTCTCCTCGCACGTTTGCCGCTTTTGCTTTTGTGCCCGCGCTCTGCTCTCTTGTCGGCCGCCGTTCATTTTCTCTGTTTTCCTTGTCATCTTTCACTTTTATCTGTCCTGTTGAGTTTTTGGTTTCTAAACTCTCTTATCCGTAATTAGACAGTCCTCGTCACTGCTGTATCTGAGCAGCCCCTATCTGTTCTTGGCGGCCCTGGTTCTGTAGCTCCTCCATATTCGCCGGGGGTTGCTTGAGCTAGCTGTGGCTATTGGTGGTGCTGTAAGGCCGGATTGCACGTGCCTTCAAGCTTCACTTAGTGCTGTGGAGGTAGAGGCCAGACTGTGCTTATGGGGCTGGCTGCATTGGGGGCTATCTCAGGCGTGCAAAGCAGACCAGGTGGCTTTCCAAGAACCACGTGGTGCTTTTCCCCTGCGTTGGGCAAGAGGGTCTGATCTGTGGCCATGTACCTCCCTCCACCCCCACTGTCTTGTTGCACGCAGGGCCGACCAGTTTGAGTACGTGATGTATGGCAAGGTGTACAGGATTGAGGGAGACGAAACGTCCACGGAGGCAGCCACGCGCCTGTAAGTGTCCTCCTTGCCCTCCCCTCACCCCCATACCATTCCCCTGCCGTCCACAAGAGGTAAGGGGGGTGGTTCTATGCCCCACCAGGGCACAATGTCCCAAGCTTGGGTAGCTAAGGGAGGGACAGCATGGTCCTGCTCAGAGTTGCTAGTGGGTCCATAGGGGAATGCCGGGGCACTGAGCATAGAGTGGTGAGTCTGTAAGTGTCCTCCTTGCCCTCCCCTCACCCCCATACCATTCCCCTGCCGTCCACAAGAGGTAAGGGGGGTGGTTCTATGCCCCACCAGGGCACAATGTCCCAAGCTTGGGTAGCTAAGGGAGGGACAGCATGGTCCTGCTCAGAGTTGCTAGTGGGTCCATAGGGGAATGCCGGGGCACTGAGCATAGAGTGGTGAGTGGCTGGCGTAGCCAGCGCTCCCTGTAGCCGCCAGTGTGCTCCCCTACACTGATG